GTTTATCCCCTTAAGAAAATAGCACCGCGGAGGGCCGCCTGCCACTGCCGCGCTGGTCGAACTTGGCTTGCTCGGAATTGGTCAAGCAGCATAGTGTGTGTTTACCCAGACCCTCCCTGTAGACCATTCGTAAGTTAGAAACGTTCCGAGTAAGAGCTTAGGGCAAGGAAGAAATAACCTGGGATTCCGTCTGAGGGACAACAGCGTGTTCTTGGAAAAGCGTCCCACTCAGGCTTTTCAGCTGTGCAGACGGGAATCTCTGGAGCCCCCACCGAGCATGGCCAGTCGGTGGCAGAGTTGGAAGGAAGCGGTGACTGCTCGGAGATCATTTCTGTTTGGTATGCACCCTTGGTTGGTGTGGGTTATGTTCCAGCTGGCTTTTTAGTCATAGAAACTCAGTCTACAGTGTATCAAATAGAGGTTCTAATCTAGTCTGTTAATTTACCTGAAGTTGGATTTTTAAAAATAAAAAGTTCAATGCACTTCCCTCGGATACTGGCTTTCTTTCGTTTTTGAAACAGGCGAACCAACAGGCATGAGGGACGATTCACTCTGTTTGGCACGCATTTAGGAGGTTACGGATAGCTTCCCGCAGTTAAAGCAGAGGCCAGCGAACTTGTTCTGTAAAGGCCCACAGGACATATTTTGCAGTCCCCGTGGCTGCCCCTCTGCCATCACAGCACAGGAGGAGCTGTGGTTGACAGTGCCCAAGCAGGTGCGCCGGGCTGTGTTCCAGCAGAGCTTTACGAATCAACAGCCAGGGGCCTAGTTTGCTGACCCCTGAAATGCACTATTTAAAATCGTGGGGGTGTCATTCTGCCCCCCCTTTTGTATTGAAAAAAACTTTTAATGTGCAGAAAAGTTAAAAGAATGTCCAGTAAATAAGGTTTTTAAAAAAATGATTTTCATTATCAGGCTTTTGATTATTCTAATATGGAAGCTGTAGCTCCACTCAAGCCTCACCTGGTATGCCTGTCCCTTTGATCGCCCGCTACATTGTATCTGTCTGGAACTTACTGCCTTCTCAGGGCCTGTCACTAGGGTCAGTCGAAGCTGGCAGAGTTGAGAGCTACTTTGATGGTTTGGTAGACCAGAAACTAGGGCAGCTAAAGGGGCTCTTACTTGTTTTTAGCCCAGAAGTAATCAGATGCATCTTGTCTTGATTGTCATGCCTGTAAAACGGGGTTGTCACCTCCCCAGCCTGGGGAGCAGATGTATTGAGACGTCACCTTGAAGAGAACATTCTATGTAAAACGAAGAGGTTCTTTTTATTGTGCTGCATTGGAATCGGTGGTTAATTTCTCTAGATCTGTTTTTCGTCTTCATTTTAAACTAGTTTTAAAAATCTTAATCTACCTCCTTGGTCCTTTTCTCTCCCTAATTTTATTAGCTGCCTCAGCCAACCCCTGTGCTTGGCAATTCCTGTTAGCCGAGTCGTGATAGTTTAGGTTGGCACAAGTCTGCATCACTTCCGATGTCTTTAATGACGGCCGAGAGAACACTTCTTGCCTGACTGGAAGAGTCAGGGTAGAGAGTGCTGTGGAACCAGCTTCTTGCTTTCAGATTGAGGACGGCCTCATCAAACTGTGGGCCTACAGTGTAGTGTCCGGGAGGGGAGGAGGCCGTCTACACCGGGTCATGCGGAGTCTACCAAGGTGATTAAAATTATTTGATTATGTAAGATGATTTTCATTTATAGCCTTGAGCTGATAGGTCTGTCGGGTTTAAAACTGGAGACAGTTGTAGGGAGAAGTTGATAAAGGACATTTTAACTGGCCAGTGGTGCAGTCGGTCTTAGTGACTCACCCTGACCCACCGAGACTGCGGGACTTCATCTTGAAGGTCAGTGAGGAGAAGGGAGAGTCCAGAGTGAGCTGTGGGCGGTCGGTCAGAGGTCTGTGCACCCGTAGACGGTCGGGTAGGGCGCACTGGCTGAGTGAGCGCCACTGTTCGCTAGCCACTGTGATCGATGATGGCAGGAGGAGGTGGGGTGTGGTTTTCAAGGTGTCCCAGGCAGATGAGGTGTGAAGCAGCAGTGGGCCCGTTAGGATGCCTCCGAGGCGTTGCTGCAGCAGAGTGGGGCATGCATCATGGGCGCTGCCAGGCCTGGGAAGACGGGAAGGCCTGAGAGCGGAGGGAGGACTAAGTATGCCACCCTGAGGGGCTTGGAGAGCCACTAAGGGTTTGAAGCAGCTGCTAAAAATGAAACAATATTGGATATTTGTAATTATAGTCTCATAAGAACTCAAAGTGACATCAGCGGTCAGCACTGTGAACGAAGGAATGGGCAGGTAACGAGAACGTTTGCCCACCTTACCGTGGAGGGTCCGTTCCTGGTTCTGGAGGAGATGCTGAGGTAGTGGCCTGGAAAGGGAAAACAAAGTGGCCGAGGTAGAGTAGTGAAGGGGGACAGAACGGTAGAGGGCAGGGGTCGAGAGCCACTGCAAGAGGCCCTGGTTACCCTGGTGACAGAACGAGCTGGCAGGGACAGGTTCCTATTATGGAGGAGAAACACTTGCAGGTGTTCCGGAGGACCCAGAAGGGAGGGAAGGCAGCCCACAAGTGGTGATGAACGTAAGGGAACGAAATTGAGCAGCTATAGGCCATAAAGCCTTTCATCTTAATTTACTTCCAGTGTTTCATAGGCATCTAATTAAAAACAAAAATGTACTTAAAGTGGTATTTTTTAATTGTCTGAGCCCAGGTTAGAGTGGGCTGTGAGTAGCGAATGAAATTAGGAGCTGCAGGGTGATGCAGAATACTAGCCCATCTCTCTTCAGCTCTTCTGGCTAACCTTTCTGTTCTCGAGATCCATGTGTTACTAGCCGAGGCAGCGCGCGAGCCGACCTGGTGAAACATGGTGTGGTACGGCTTTATTCAAACTCCTCCGTCAAAGGTGTTGGTGAGACCTGGGCTCGGCCCACCAGGTGGGGCGTGGAGGCAAAGAGAGCTTGCAGCCTCCACCTTACACGAGAGGTGGCCTCTAACATCTCTCCCAGAGGAGTTCCCTGCTGGTGAGGAAGCCAGTTGGCTGTTTGCCTAGTGTCATCTGGAGACCTGGGAGTGTCACAGAAGTTTGCTAGGCCTTTGAGATGTTGACTTTGGGGCCTTGTGTGCTGACAGGTGGTGACCTTCACTGGGGTGAATGCAGAGAACTAGGCGTGGGGTTTGACGCCTGCAGCATTCAGGCAGAAATGCTGTCCAGCCTCCTCCCACACCTAATGCCCGCTTAGTGGCCACTTGGCCTTCCCTGCCATTTGGTGGCATTCGCTCCCCCAAAATGTCTTCCTCCAGCCTGCCAGATCCTAACCAGCTCCATCCTGTGTCCCTGCCAACTCTGCACAAAGAAGAGTGAGATCCTTGCACCTCTAAGATCCAGAGCAAACTGGCGGTATTGGCCCTTCACTGGTTTGGGGCCCTATTGTGTAAGGCAGGGGACCGCCGTGCAGGAAACCCAGGCTCCCTCGGAACTAAGTATTTTGCCGTTATTGGCGGTGAAACCAAATTCTAAAGGAAGTGCCGTCCATTTTTCTGCTTGTGTAATGAAGAGCCTACCAGGTGTGATTGAGTACGCACACTCGGGGTACGCTTCCTGATTAGGCAGTCGTGCTGCCTCGCCAGAGCTTCAGACGCCTCACTGTAACACTTAAGTCCAAGTCAAAATGGCTTCAGTTCTTTTCAGTTTTACATTTAAGGTACAACATAGAAGTGGGCTTCAGAAAGCTCTTCATGGTTCTTCTGTTATTTGGGCATGTGTTTTCATTGGCCAAAAAATAACCAGACTTCAGAAAGGAGTCGTTTTTCTTCCATCAAGTGTCAGTGGCTTATTTAATAAAAGCATGTCTGTAATTGAACACAGCACATACAGCTGCTCGTTCATCTTTTTGCCCGCGTGAAGCAGCTCAGACTAGTTTACTGAAGGATGGGGTCACCCAGAGGGGAACTCTGCCATTTACAATCCATCCTCCTGTAGGTTAGGGGGTGCAGCGGCAGGCGCCCTTCACGGCTGGACGATGTGCTGTGGACAGGGCCGAGAAAATCGCAATCCCGACTTCTCTGCGCCGAAACGGGCCCCAGAGACACTCCGACCCTGCACAAGGGTGGACAAGGGTGGTAGGCAGGACGCCGGGCTGCCTCGGGGCTTCTGGTCGTGCCTCTGCGCTAACCACGCGCGCCTTAGCCCACGTGGCCGTCGGGGACTTGTGGAGTGAGTTATGAGAATAGAAAGGCGGGAAGCTCAGCCTTGACCCTCGGGATCCGCGTTCCCGGGGACCGGAGGCCAAGGGGGCACCGGGAAAGGGCGCCTGCGGCTGG